GTGAGCTGGCTTGCGTGGTACATACGACCCGATCGCTTGAATTGCTGCTTGCTTGCGCCTCCAACCCCGCCCGCGCTCATCCACGTCCATGCGAACGTGTGGCTGTGCAGCAAGGCTTCACTCGCACACACAACATGCCCTCCTTGCCTGCCTGCCTGCCTGTCCGCTCGCCCGCTCGCATGCCTCTGCCCGACCCCAACTCCAGCCCTTCGGCAGCTGTGTTCGCGATACTCTACAACATTCGTGATTGCCATTTCATTTCCTGATCACAAAGGGGATGGCGTAAGTGCGACGAGAAATTTCCTGCAATTCTCGCCCACTACTCATCCACCACGCTGACCCAACCCCTGACTATCAATCCCTCCACCTCGCTCCTAGCCACTCTGAACCTCTCTCCCATCCTCAAACTGATCGTTCCCCTCTCCGTCATCACATCCCTCGCATCCCTCCTGGCCACGATGGTGACCATCAATTCCAACGGCGGTCCCACATCCCTCTCCATCATCATCCTCCCACCCGCACTTCCCCCCGCACCCTCACCCCCACCCTCACCCGCGCCATGTCCAGATCGATGCAGAGGAGCGGTCAGATCGACAATGTCCAAAAATTGTTCCTTGTAAGCCCTAAGCAGTTCCGCATAAGCTCTAATGCTCCTAACCTCCTCTGCGCTCAATCTGCTCTTCAGCGCTCCCAATTCGCTGCCCCTGCCTTCTTCCAGCAACAACTGAGCGCTTCCAGCCTTATCCCATAGCGCTCTGCGCAAGAAATCCATGCGGTGATTGTGGTAGGCTAACAAGCACCGCTTGTTTCGCAAGGCGCTCAGATGGTGCGTCAGCAATTGAGCACCCAACGACGCGTCCACCTCTGCCGCTGCTTCTCCCGCTGCCTTTCCACCCGGATAGCTGGCGATGAGTTGATCGTTGTGCGCTTGCAATTGACGCGTTTCCAGCAGCACCGCTCGCACCGTCTCGACGCTGCGTGTCGAGAAGGGGGAATGGAGGAGGGGGGTGGTGGGCAAGGAGAAAAGGTTGCCTTCAGCTCTCTCCTCTCGGCGCTCGCTTTGGTGGTATCCGCATCGCCACTCGCCATTGACCAGAGGCTCATCGGGGACGGCAGCACAAAAGCCCCAAGAGTTGCAGTTGCAAACCCACAGCCATGCTCGCAGCCCAGCATTCGTCGGAGTGGCAACGCAACCCTGGCGCCCAAGTCTCGTGTTCTGTTGTGTCGTCGCGACACCACATCCCCGCATTCAACCCCCGTTTCATACTCACTTGTAAGGTCTCAACAATCCCGTAGCCTGACTCGCTTCAGCCTCCTTGATCAGCTTGATCGCCTCGTCTCCAAACATTCTACCTTGTCGCGTGGCGGTAAAAGTGTCTTGAGAGGCGAGAGGGAGGCCAGTCTGACTGGATATGTGGCAGCGATGAATGCGAGTGCGCACAAATCCTTTCCAAAAGCTGGATCTGGCAGCAGCGACAGGGGCTCGGGCTAGGAGGTATGATTTTGCTTCGGTCGCGTCGGGATTGAGCAAGCTTTGGGTGAAGGGGCGGTGCGGTGCGGTCGATGATGCAAGCTTGACTCGAAGCAGGCAGGGCTCAGGGCTCAGGGCTCAGGGCTCAGGGTTGATGCGAACTGTCTGCATGGGGTGTCAAGATGACCAAGAGCCAGGCAGAGTGACCGAGTGTAAGGTGGCGAGGATGAAACGTGGATTGCGGCTTTGCCAAGATGATGGATGTGCGGTGCGGTGCGGTGCGGTGCGGTGCGGTGCGGTGCGGTG